CTCCCTAAATGTCCTACTGGTTCCAAGTTAAAAAAAAAAGTAAGAAGGGAGGGGAGAGAGAAAGAACAGAAAGTCAGCGCCAGGGGGAGGCAGCGGCGGCCGAGCTGAGAGTGTGCAGAAACATGACTTCCAAACTTTTTTCCCCCTCTTTGCTTCCCTCCTTCCCTCACTCCTCCGCTTTTTTCCCTTTTTTTCTTTTCTTTTTTTTTTTAAATCGCTAATAACACCGGAGTGGGGTGAGTGGCCTGACTCGGGCGCCACCCAGCAGCAGCCGCACGGTGTCAGAGATAAATCTGGCCTGTTTAGGATCGATAGAAAATTCATCAACTAATTCAGGTTACGCGCGGCCTCCTTAAATCACGAGCAGAGCTTTGCATTAAGAATGTGAGTCCAGCACCGAGAGTCTCACCTCCTCAGGAAAATCATCAAATCAAATAAAAAAAGAAATAAAAAAAGAGGAGGAACCAGAGGAGCAGCGGGTGTGTGTTCCCTTCCTCATTTAACTCCACATGCATAGTCATTTATCCCGCTTTTATTTTTGTTTTTTTTCTGCTTTTTGCATTGCATACATAAACAAGTAAGACACATACACGCGCGCACACACACGCGCGCGCACACCAGCAGCATAACAAGTCCAAGTCCCTGCTGCTGGTCCTGCCCTTGAGCTGAACACTCAGATCTGCAGCTCTTTGTTTTTGTCCTCCTGCAGAGAACACTCACGTCCCCGGCTGTGACTGTTCACTTCACTGTCTTACACACACACACACTAACACACACACTAACACACACACATCAACAGTCGAAGTTTTTTGCTTAAAAGACGCAAAGCAAACTGGGAAATTGTCAAAAATTGTAACTGTTTACGCGGACGAAGACAGTTTGAATCTTTCAATCCGTTTCTTTGAATCAAAATCGTACCAAAAACAAAACGAGTGTTTTTATTAATATGTGTCTGTATATGTGGAATATATATATGTATTTACTTTACTGCGTGGACCTAATATATTGTATTTGTATTGAGGGTAAAAACTGCACAGATGTTTTCCAGTCAGATTACTGTTACTGCTGCTGCTGCTGCTGCTGCTGCTGCTGCTGCACTTTCTGTCTTATCACTATAGTAACAGCACCGCCCCCCCCACACACACATATACACACACACACTCAGGATGATGGAGATATCCAATCCTTTGTTTCGAGAAAATTGACCGTCTCTAAATCGACCCCTCGCTCTCCTCCCCCTCCCACCCCTCCTGATAAATAAAATTTAAAAAAAGAAAATCCACTCAACCTGCAGTCTGGAGTTGGCTTTTTAAAATTATAAAACGATTGAATTAAAAACAAAGAATACAACTCGTTCGATCTGTTGTTATGAAAACCGTAAAACATAAACATACCGTAATATTTCTGTATTTATTTATGGACAACAACAAAAAAAAAGAAAAATAACAAAAGGAAACGCGTCGTCTTTAAACTGGGCTCGTGTTTCAACTCATGTGCAAACGAATTTACACATCAATACAATAAAAATAATAAAAATAAAACCCCTTTTGAAGGCGTCACGGCCCCGGACCGTGAACCACAGGCCTCCCTCTGCCTCCCCCTCCTCACCCTCCCTCCTCCCCCCCGTCTCTGCTCCATCACCGCCGCAGGGTGTAAATCCACTATATACTCCCCTAGAAGCGAATTTGTGATTGTTTTAATGATTTTTACACAAATCCGGATCTACAGGGTAGATATAGAAGACAGTGGATCTCTGGAGACGCTGCTTTCATAACGTCCCCGCATGTCACGGCCACGCCGCGGCCACGCAGGGGCCACCGCCGGGCAGCGGCCTCGCCATTTATCTGCGCTGGCTGCGTGCAGGGGAACTGGGAAATAAAGTGTTCGCTCGTGGAGGCTGCAACACTTCACGTGTGAGTCCGTGGAAACGACAAAGGCAATAAAACTGGCAGTATTTTTTATTTTTTATTTTTTTACGAAATAAGAGGGGAGGACACGTGGGCCCGCAGGTGCATCACGGGCCTTTTCATTTATGTTATTGAATTCAAAAGAGCAAAAAAAAAAAACATATATTATTACATTTAAATATGTTTTATTTTAATGTGAAATTAATTAATGTCAATTATGGTTAAAATGTGAGAAAATATCAACCCGAGGCCTGTGTTGGGATTGTTTTCAATCGCAAAGTTAAATATTCTTTTCTTTTTCTTTTTGTCCCTCTACTTATCAAATTTATATTTTAAGTTAATAATCAAGAACTAGTTCAAATGTATACATCAAATAATCCTAGAGGACGAACGAACTGAAGACGAATGGGTTTTGGCTCGAACGAACGCAGTTCCGTCACCAATCCTACAGAGTTCGGCTCTGAAATAAATAAATGGAGCCATAAGTAAATGAGTTCATGTTGAGTCACGGTTTAAAATTCAATTTAAATTATAATAATAATTTAAAAAAAATAAAACCCCTCAAAACTATACATTCAATCCCACTCTCTGCTGGCGGCCTGTACAAACCCACCAGAACCTGTAGGTGAGTCGTGCAGGGAAAAAAAAATAGAATCACGGGCTCCTCCACTCGGACCCACGGTGCAGCCCGTTCCTGGTGATTGATGTGTGATGTAGAACACGACCGTGGAGGAGATGTTCTCCACGCAGGGACACCGCGGCCTGCCCACCTACAAACGCTTTTATATTTGCCCTGTCATTTCTATCTGCCTCCTGTGCTGCTCCCACATTGATTTTGTGACACTGACACCCCCCCCTCACACACACACACACACTCACAACACCC